TCATATAAATATTAAACAACATTGGGGATAGGATGACGCCCTGAGGGACGCCACAAGCTCAGTTTTGGAAGAGCAACTGTCCCCGAGCCTCACCCTCTGGGATCTTCCCGAGAGGAAGGAACGGAACCACTGCAAAGCAATGCCTCCAATTCCTAACTCTCTCATGCGGTCCAAGAGGATGGCATGATCTATGGTATCAAAGGCCGCTGAGAGATCCAAGAGCACCAGCAGGGTCACACTACCCCTGTCGATACCCAGGCGGAGGTCATTGGTCAGAGCAACCATGGCAGTCTCCACTCCAAATCCCGTCCTGAAGCCGGTTTGAAATGGATCAAGATAATCAGTTTCATCCAAAACTGCATGGAGTTGGGGAGCAACTGCCCTCTCAATCACCTTGCTTAAGAAAGGTGGCAAGGAGACTGGTCTATAGTTGTTTCTATCCAGGGGATCCAGGGAGGGTTTTTTAAGGAGTGGATTAATTGCCGCCTCCTTTAAGCAAGATGGAATAATACCCTCCCTGAAGGACACATTGATTGTGTCCCGAAGGAACACCTTCAACGTGTCCCCTCCCTGGGCGACCAGCCATGATGGACAAGGATTGAGGGGGCAAGTCGTCTTCCTCCTCCTCCATGTCATCGGTACTCACAGATTGGAATTGATCCAGTAAAATGCCATCAATGGAGTTCCTGGATGCCTCGTCTACGGGTTCTGCCAAAACACTGGCGTCCAAGTCGGCTCTTATCCAAGAGATTTTATATGGAAAGTAGGTATTAAATGCCTCACAGCAGGCTGTTATTGGGTTAAGTAGGGGGCTCGGCGCTGGAAAAAACCTCGTCAATTCCCCCACCGCCCTAAACAGCTCTGCCCGGAGAGACTCTGCAAACACAATACGTGCAGAACAGAAAGATTTCTGCGCTGCACATAAAGCCTCCCTATAGGAATCAAGATGGTTCCTCAGGCGAGTTCTGTCGGATAAGAGACGAGTCCTTCGCCATTCGCGCTCTAGTTGTTGTCCAGCTCGCTTCATCCTTCT